GCTTCTCCTTTACAGAGGCTTTGAATAAGTTTAAGTGGTTTTTTTGAATGGTACAGGCAAGAAATACAACCTTTCATTCAAAGAACTAAGGTCACCCATACCTTCTTGAAAGAGAATTTATGTACCCTTCCTATTTATAAGCAAAACCAAACTATTGATGCAGTTGCAGCAAGGACTGCTAAAATAGTGGCCCAGCAAGCTATAACAGATAGGTAGAAGGGAGCTAATGTAAATGCAAGTTTTGGAGGAAAGACATTTTTAAAATGCATTTTTGAAAACCACGCATGTCCAGAAGTTCTCCCCTTCCTATCATACTCAAGTGAAAGCTTGGGCTGTCATCCTTTGAAATACGTGTGGTGGTTCTGTGCATTTAAAACTCAGAACGTATGCTGAGTACTCTGGATTCACAGACGACAAAGACATGAAAAATAATGGACTTAACAGGGTCTGGACACTATATAAATATATAGACAGAGAATGAGAGAGAGAAAAGCTGTCTGCTTTAAAACTTTGCTAAAGCTGTCTCTAAGCATTCGTTTCTCCTGGAGGAGGTCACAGCCTGACAGAGAGGTGTGAGATGGAATGAAATAAATATGCAGGACAGTGTGAATTTAATCAGCTGCTTTCTCCTGGTTCTTTAAGATTTAGATAATATTAGTTCAAATCTCTCTTCTACAGTTTTTACCAGCTATGATTTTTTGCAGGGGCTATGGATGGGTCGGGGAAAAGTGAAGTGATGGTTGACTTGGATGTTCTCTTGTTCCCTCTGTGTCTGACCTCCTGCTTCCACTGAAGTAATTGAGGTTATGGATCATTTTTTTTTCTGAGAATATTTCATACTAAGTCATCCAGACATCAGGCCAGCCCTTGCCCTTCCTACTTACACAAGGCTGAGTTTATTGAAGATTTTCTTAATATGGGAGGAAATGAGTAGGTTTATGTCATAACAGAGCAGTGAAAATCTGACCGTGTACTTTTCTGACCAACTAGTTTTCTTAGAATAAAACACAAGACCCTAAGGCCTACAAGGCCCTGCATGATCTGGCCCCGGTGGGCTCTCAAAACCTCTCCTCACACCGTTCTTGCTCTTAGTCACTTCACTCCAGTCTTAAGGATACTCTCAGTTTCTCAAATTTTGTTTCTATTGCAGGAACTTCTCATATGCTATTCCCTCTACTGTTCTTCCTTCTGCTTTTTGCATGACTGGCTTCTCATCTTTAGGCCTTAACTAAAAAATATTTTTAGAGCGTACTTCCTAGAACATCCATCCTTAAGTGGGTCACTTATCCTGTCTGATAACACGCATTATTTTTCTTCATAGCACTTGTGCCAGTTTGTCCAACGTGTACTTATTTTTATTCTTGTATGTTTTCTGCCACTAGATGGTAAATTCCACAAAAGCAAGGACTGTTCCCCTTATATGCATTGCTGTAGACCCAGTCTACTTAATTCCTGACATGTATCAGTTAGTGTGCTTGAATGAATGAATGAGATAGCTCAGCAGGACCTGGTTGATTAGGTGTAGAAGAAAGAGAGAGCAGGTATCAAGGATGGTGCACAGGTTTCAGGCTTCAGCACCTTTGTAGATGGATGGGCAGGTCTGTGGGGACAGATCCTAAGTTATATCTTAAGTCTGGATACAGATGTTGATTAGGCTGTTGGGTGCATAGTTTCATGGGAGCCATAAGAAACATTATTCTGCTGCCTGCTCATTAAAATTTCATTTCTAATTGTTAAATAAATACCTGATCTGCTTAGAAAAAAATAATTTGTACTTGCATATTTTTAGTTGTCATTCAGTTTTCTAGGCCTTTGGGATTTTATCCATATGCAGTTTTTAAAATTTGTTATTAATCACAACTCATTGCATATATTTTTGCCCATCTTATTGCATATATTTTTCATTAGTAACAGTGACTCATTCAGTTCACCTGCTAAACCATATACATACTTCAGATAAGTCATTTTTACAGTATATCTTTTGTGTTGTGAAAATTTTTTATCAGCATTAAACAACAGTTATTTAGAGCCTAAGTTATATTCGTTACCACGTACATTCAAAGAAAATTCAGAGAGAAAATGAGAAAATAACAGATAACTAATATGTACTTGAAAAAGTGTTAAATCTTATAAAAGAAATGCAAAATAAATAAAAGTATAATATAATTACAGTTATATAAGCAAAGATGAAGAGGTTTGATAATATATCTGGTAAGGTGTGATTGAAGCAGCACTCATACCATAAGAGTATAAATTAGTTCAACATATGTGCAGGGCAGTAGCAATATAGCAGTTCCACTTTTGGAAATTTATTCTATAGATACACTTGCCCATGCATGGGAAGCATTCTTTCTACAAGGATACCCACTGCAGCATTGTTTGTAATAGGAACAGGATGCAAGTAATGCAAATGTCTATCTATCCGTAGGGAATTGGAAAACAGGAAAAATGTATCCTGGTATATCCATATGTAATAGAATGCAGCTATTAGAAAGATTAAGGCAAATGTATACATAATAATATGGTGCTATTTCTAATACATAATGGTAAGAAGCAGAGTCTAGAATAGGATGTATAGTATGTTCCCCCCCCATTTTGAAAGGAAAAGAATAAGAAATATAAAATATTGAAAATTATATACAATCTATTGGTAACATTGGTTGCTGTGAAGAGGGAAGCTTGGTAACAAAGGATTGAGATCAGCAGGTAACCTACTTTCACTCTATACCCATTTGTAGCTTTTAGAAACTGTCCTATATGCTTGTATTGCCTGTTCAAATTTTATCAATTAAAATCAAGTGATCATGATCCATATTGAAAAAAAATCTTAATTTCTACCTCAGAACATATAGGTGGATGTTTTGGTAAATGGCATATAAAAATGTACCAGTCTGTTCTAGGTGGATGGCAGATCAAAATGTGAAAAGTGAAACAGTAAAGCTTTTGGAAGAAATGGAAAATCTTTTATAACCTTGGAGTAAGCAAAATGTCTTCAACAGAAGGCAAAAAGCATGAATCATAAAGGAAAGAAATTGATAAATTAGACTATATTAAGATTAGAAACTCTTGTTTATTAGAAGATACCATTAAAAAATGAAAAGGCAAGCCATATATTGGAGAAGATATTTTCAATAAATATAACAAACATTCATATCTAGAATATATTAAAAACTTCCTACAAACAGTAAGAAAAAAGCAGACAATCCAATAGATAAATGGGCGAAATATTTGAATGGGCACTTCACAAAAAAGAATATTCAAATGAAAATTAAAACCACAGTGGAGTATCACTACATGCCCACCAGAATGGTTAAAATAAGAAAGGTTAACTGTATATAGTGTTGCTGAAGATAATGGAGCACCTTTTCCTCATGGTGGTGAAAGTAAATTGATATGACCACTTTGACAAATTGTCGTTCATATCATGGCTGAACACGTGATTTTCTGTGACCCAGCAATTCCACTCCTACATATATACCCAAGAGGGATTCATGCACATGATCATCAAATATTGGAAATAGCCAAAAACTGAAAGCTAATAGAATGTAACGTCCAATAGAATAGAAAAATAAATTATAATATATTCACACAATGGAATGTTATGCAGCAATGAGGATAAATTATCTACAAATACACAACAACGTGGATGAAGTTTACAAACCATAATGTTGAGCAAAAGAAGCCAGACACAAAAGAGTGTACCTTCTAAGAGTCCATTCATATGTGTTACAATAATAGGCCAAACAAAACTATGATGTTTCAAGTCAGGATAGCAGGTTTTCTTGGTGAGACTGAGTTACTGGAAGAAGAGAACATGAGGAAGGCTTCTGGGGTACTGGTGATGTTCTTTTTCTTGACCCGGACACTGGATTCACAGATGTATTCAATTTGTGAAAATTAATCACATGCAGTTAATGACTATTCTATTTCATTGTGTGTATTATACCTATTAAAAAGTTTTTAAAAGTAATGGTTCAGAAAAATTTCTAAAACTAGAGGTAAATGCAAGACAGTTGTAATAGTTTTGTATTTTACTGTCAGTCTTCTCTGGTCTTACTTGATTTTGTTATTAACTAAAAAACGTATTCCTATTACTTGACTTTAAAACTATTTCCTTCCCTGTTACTCATGTAAAATCAATGATAGTGTCTTTACCCTTTCAACCTCCTCTTGTGGCTCATTCCAGGCTATTAGGAAAGGATATGACAGTGTGACATTTGTCTTTAGTTTTATTATCCTGCAGATGAAATGGCTGTTTCTCAACTAAGATTGAGGCCCAGTAGAAAGAAGGGAAAGTCTTGCAAACAAGGCTTGACTGAGGATGAGTTGAAAAGGTGTGAATGTGTCAGTCATTGTGTGTGTTAGCATGGTGCTGAAATACGGAAGAGATACTGACGTAGGAGGGCTCCACCCAGGGGACTGTGGCAGGTGACAGCATCCAAGCCATCATTCTGGACCATTCCATGGTTGTCTTCACCAGTCCCACTAATAGCAGACCGACTAATGCTGCTGAATTAAATCCAACAGACTTAAACTTTTTTGCTCACATACCTTAAAAGAACTTGAAAACTCTTGACCACTCACTCACTTTTAAATTGACACCCAAAGGTTTTTCAACATGTTTCGATCAATTTATAAGGAAATAGTGAATATTTTATAAAATAAAGAGAAGGAGGCCGGGCATGATGGCTCATGCCTGTAATCCTAACACTTTGGGAGGTCAAGGCAAGCGGATCGCCTGAGGTCAGTTCAAGACCAGCCTGGCAAACATTGTGAAACGCCATCTGTACAAAAAGACAAAAATTAGCCGGGCATGATGGTGGGTGCCTGTAATCCTGGCTACTCGAGAGGCTGAAGTAGGAGAATAGCTTTAATCCAGGAGGCGGAGGTTGCAGTGAGCCAAGATCACGCCATTGCACTCCAGCCTGGGTAATAGAGTGAGACCTCCATCTCAGGAAAAAAAAAAAAAAAAAAAAAAAAAAAAGAGGAGTAACCCTAACTAGAATCAGTATTTCATGATATGATTTCATAATATTAAATACCCTGTGAATAAAAAGCACACGAAATCATCTGAAAGAAATTAGTAAAATTTTAAGCTGCCCCTTTATCTTAAGCTTTTTGATAGTTATGCAGAATATTCTAGTTCTAGTTAGAAGAATCAGCCTCATTAACAGGTAACCCCTTCATATGTCCTAAATTCAGAACACCCCAATTCAGGCCTCAAACCATGTTTCTAATGGTAGATTTCTCCTTTGTCAAAATATGCGTAAGACAGAGAATGCTATGGGTTTAATTATTTAAAGACAGGAAATCCTAATCGGTAAAAGTCGAAGTCTTTGACTTTGAGGAACTAAACAAAATTTATAAATCAATACATCCCAGCGTATGTACCGTAGTAGGTTTTGGATGGCAACATGTACAAACTCAATGTCTCAGACAAGTATTTAAAAGATCCCATGTGAAAGTTGAGAACCTGGAAATTCTTCTCCTAAAGTTGTCTGTGACTGTTTATTTCTTAGAAAATCTTTGTTTGAAGTTAGAAGACCCTTGTGATAGATATTTCAACAAGTAGCCAAGAAAAACAGATGTGCTGGCCCTTTTGGCTTTCCATGTAAACAGTCAAAGAAGCCAGCATGGCAAATAATTACATTCAACCTGTGGCTTCCATGTTTTTGATGGAAATATAAACATCTTTATTGTTAATAGATAAACAGTTTCAACTGGAAGAAATAGCATGACTGAAAGTTAAGTCTATTGAAGCATAAAACTTTTGTATATTTGAGATTTGGAAATGTGATCCCTCAAAAATGTGCCTATAAAAATAGCTAACTAGTTTAGTGAATTTTAGTTTATATCATTTTATAAAGCTATGTGGATTTTTGACAATTACGTCTTATGATTGTCATTTTAAAATAACATAGCTATTCATGTATGTATATAGTAATACAAAAAGTGTGTAAATAAAACTCAGTTTACTAGAAATTTTATTTTTATCATTGGATGTCGTAATTCAAAGACTTCCACCAAGCAACCTTTCAAGTTAATAAAAAAAATTTTCTAGATAACACAATTAAGATAAATAAAATGCTTCTACCTTATACTTTAGAAATCAGAAATGACATATTTAATGTTGTCTGACATTAACCTCTGTGTTTGCCTCTCAACAATCAATAGGATAGCCTGGTTTTTTGTTTGTTTGTTTTTATTGTATGCTTTCTTTAGGATTTCTCTTTTGGGTTTCACCCAGACTGTGTCTAACATAATAGTGGTGATTTTTGACAAAATAATTTATTGTTAATGTTAAGGTCCTAAACTTAAATTACATTTTACTGAAATGAAACTATTTAAATGATATAATTGAACTTAACTATTATTTAAAAATTGGTGAAAATAGAGTAGGATTTCCTACCTAGGACACAGGCATTGAAACTTTGTTTTTCAAAGTGTATCCTCTCAAACCTCATCGTGAACATAGAAATGCTGGTTAAAATACAGATTCCTACACCTGCTATGTGGGAATTTGCATTTTGACCAAGCATCCTGGGTGATTCTGAAGCACAGGAATCTGTGAAGACAGCTGTTCCAGGGCAGCATTACTTAATCATGGATGTTCCATAACAGAAAGAGGCACCTTACGTCCTTGGTAGCAGAGTACAAATAATAAAGTAATAAAAAGAAATGATGGATCCTGGAGACATACCCTCTTCTTTACATCTTGACTATAATAGCCTATTTCCTATGTAACTGTCCTGTCTTTATAGCTATGACGTTGTATCCTCATTACCCTCCAAAATACCAAATATTTTCGTTCATCACTTACTACAGATGCCCTGCAGTTACATGCAGAATGCTTTTAAACTATGTTTACCTGAATTGCTGTAGAACAAGTATTTAACTGCCGTAAAAGACGTGCTTTGTCATTGTTAAATACAGTCTTTTAGTGATGTGTTAAAATAACAAATACAGATATTTTAGTTTAATTCAATAAAATGGAAACAGTACAACCTCTGTTTTCACAAATGAAGTGATTTGGAATGAGTCTGTCAGCGCTAATGGGGCCCTTGCACGCTGTGGTAGGATAAACAGCACATTTCTGTTTCACATTTTTCCTAAAACGAAGGCCGTCTTGAATCTCTCTCTTTCCACAAACCTTCATGCACTAAACTATGTGCCAGTGACATAGGAAACTCCTTTTGCTTGTAATGGGCCATATGCTTGTCTAGTAGATCATTTGTGAAACTGAAGTTGGCTGTTATAATGTGACAGGTATGTAAATAACATTTATCAGTGATCTCTGTAGAATTGATTCTTCCTTTCCCTTGTCATTATAAAAGGAAACTTTATTTCAGAGTAGAAAGTGCATTGTCTGAACTCATCAACACCCTCTCTATCCCTCCCCCCCAATTTGTTGCAGACCAGGATGAAAGAGCAGCTGAGCTCAGCAGGGAGCAGAACGAGAAAACCATCCGGAGCACGCAGACCGCGCTCCGCAATTTCCGCGAGTTCCTCATCTCCAAGTATCCTTCTGAAACAAGAGAGATTTATGTCATCCCTTGCAAGGAGTTGGATGCCTACCTTGCGTCTTTCTTTGTTGATGCCAGGCAGAAGGATGGGTCCGAATACGAACCCAACAGCTTGGCCAATTATCAGTGTGGGCTTGAAAGGTACCTCAAAGAACACAGGTATGGCTACAGCATCACCAGGGATAAGGAATTCAAGCGTTCCCAAGAGGCCCTGAAGCAGAAGCAAATTGAACTCCGCTGCAAAGGAAAAGGAAATAAGCCACACAAGTCCATGAAGCTCACCTTTGCTGATGAGCTCATCCTGCGGAAAAGGGGATTGCTAAGCCGATATAATCCTGAGGGTTTGCTCAACCTAGTCTGGCTCAACAATACAAAAGCTTTTGGGCATTGCACAGGCTTCCATGGATCTACCTTAAAATGGGGTGATATCCGGCTCCGGGTAACAGAGACGGGTCTGGAGTACTTGGAGTGGATGGGTCAGGACACAGGGGACCTGAATGCCAAAACCAAGAGAGGGGGGACAGACTCCCGTGTGTATGCCACCCAGCATGCCCCGCAGACCTGCCCCGTCCAGGACTATAAGGAGTATGCCCAGCGGCGGCCTCCTGCCATGCGCTATGAGGATGCCCCTTTCTACTTATCCATCAAGCCGGTCGTGAACTTGGCGGCTCTGCATTGGTACAACTGCCAGGCCCTTGGCAAGAACAAGCTGGCCAAGATGGTGAAGACCATGTGTGAGAAGGGCAACATCCCCGGCAGGAAAACCAACTTCAGTGTGTATCAGAGCTGCAGCACATTGTCTGAGGCCCAGAGCAATCAGCTGGTGCTGATCTGTAACAATCTGAGCCAACAGGCTGCCCAGTCAGTGGCGGGGCACTCCAACAATGGCAATTTCATCGTCTCCGCCTCCTATGACTCTTCCTCAGACACCGCTTGACCAGGTGGCTTGAGCAAGACTCCCGTTTGGTTACCGTGTCCAGAGAAACTGTGATTATACAGCGCTTCTCCTTCCCCTTCCTCTGCCCTCAGTGTTAATTAACTTTATAAAAATATAAATATATAATATATTTTTCTTTTTACAAATAAGCCAATGGAGATAATTTAGTATTACTAACATAGTATTTATAGGCTTAAGACAGATGTATTTGTGGGTGATCAGATGTAGTTACTGTTACAAACTTTACAAAACCATAGTGGTTCTCAGGCAACATAAAGCAGAGAGAGAATTCTGTTTTTTAAAAACTGTCGAAAAGGAAATTGAAAGTCATCCTAGACTTAGATGCTTGTGTCCTCAATTCCTGCTTTTCATTCCCACCCCAACTCCCATTTTTTGTCTCCTTAATAAATGGCTTTATTTTTTTAATTTTTAAAATTCTATATTAATCAAGAGGAGACATTAACTTCACTGCTTACACAAAACTGTATTCAGCTAGATCCAGAATATGAAAGTGTTGTATAAGCTCAACATCAAATTATTTACATGTTCTCTTTTTAACTTAGAGTTTTAGCTCCTGTGCCTCATTTTTTACAGTGTACGAAAATCTAGATGTTTAGCTAACATCTTTTCTTTTGGGGGGGGAAGGGTAGAAGGAGGGAATAAAGGTGCCATTCTTTTAGGGAGGTACGTAATTTTAAAATAATATGCAAAATCTAATATTCTGGCTAAAAGGACTGTTACATAGCTCATTTTAACTATTGTGCTTGAACCTGGATAGAATGTTTCTTTTTTTGTCCCTAAGAAATGGATATAAATCAAGTTTGACAAGAAATTTAAACCTACCAAAGCTTTGAAAATGTTACCAAGCATTAGACTGCATATAAAGAGAAGGTAAAGAGTGGGAAGTCTTACTAAAAATCTGGAAGCAGTAGTCGAGACAACAAAAAAAACTCTTCGTCTTCAAAGTTCATATTCCCCAAATTATTTATATAGAAGCATTAAACAGTCTCTTTTCTCCTGGGGCAAGGAGAGGTATTTGACTCTGTAGTTGAGATCAAAGGAATATTGACACTCTTGAAAATGTGCGAGATTCTTCTGTAGTAAATATAAATGCATTTATCTGTGATATCCTGCAATTATTATAATAATTTTGGTTAAACATTTGTGGCAGTTTTCCCAAACTCTTTGTTTTCAAGTCTTGAAGCCTGTGGTGAATTATTAAGTTATTTCAAAAATAAATTAAATTTAGACATTAGAACCACAAGAAAGCTGAGCTAGGTTCCTATCCCATGTAATCAGAAACACACATAAATTCCAAATCCTGGTTGTTTCACTGGACCTGAGAATTCTATTGGGAGATATTTGTTCTTCAAGGCTACCTCATAATTCACATTAGCTAGAAAGGTAGGTGGTATTTTGTACATTAATTTGGTATATAACCAGAACAACTTCCATTCTGAATTGCTTTGCTAAATCATCACAGAGCTGAGCTCTCCCATGGTCAGGGAACTCCTTCCAACACCAAGTCATAACCATATAAAGACCTGTTCATCTAAGCTGTGACCTTTCATTTGGCTCAGGAGTGGGAAGTCAGCCGTGGACTTTGTTTGGTGAAATTAACCTCATTCTCATGGCTTTTCCTCCATAGAGAAACGTTTATTTACACATCCAGAGACAAGAAGAAAGGCAGAGAATGTCTTGCTTTATGTTTTTGTATTGATAATGGTGAGAGCTGCCATTTTTGAGCCAGCATGCATGCCAGCACTGTGCCGAGTGACTTACATGCATCACATATGTAAGTCATAGTTACTAATCACAAAAATATATATAGGAAAATACAGATAAGGATAAAGAAAACAAAATACGTACTCATAAATCTTCTAGCCAAAGATAACTACTGTTAACATTTTGGCAAATATTTCTTCAGATATATTTCAGTACTTACATATTTATTTCTATATACATTATGTTAATCTTGCAACTTTGAAAAGGTGAGTTATCTTCATTTTATGGTCAGGTCAAAATAAGTCAGTTAGATCATAGCTAAAGAAATGGTAGTGTGTCTTTTCACTCCAGAGTCTTTTTTTCTATTTACCCTTCTCAGGACCAGCTCATAATTTTTCAGTGGTTTGAGCCAGAGCTGGGGACACAGCATCTTAACATCTCCGAAGGATGTCTGATCAAAAGGAATCCTGAGTGATCTTTCATGATGGCACCATGTCCTCTAGTCCTCTCCCACCCCCATACATTTGGAGCCACAGAGCCTCTTTCTCCCACCTCTCTTTGCAAAACCTTCCTTTTCTCCTTATTCTGTAGCTAGTCCTTACTGCAGCAGACAGCCTACTTTAGGGAACTCTTTAAAAAAAATAGTTATTTTTATGTGGTTACCTCTCATGTTTGAAAAAAGGTCTCTGTGAAACACTTAAAATGTTATGGTGCGTTTAATTTTTAATTGACATAGTTTCTAAATTTTTGATATGTTTCTGACAGCACAGTAAGTTTGTCTTAAGGAAGAAGGGTAGTCAGTATGCACTGAGAAAGCAGAACTAGAAAATGTCAGTTCCCTATCTGTGCTTATTGAGATACTAAAATGAAAATCTTTGTCCTGCTTAATCATATTGCATTTTCATTTAGAATAACACAAATTGAGAATGTGAATTATTTTTATTTATTTATATTTTTCTGTGATAACTCAAACCAAAATAGGAACATTATGACTTTTAGTTTCAGAAAACTGTTTTCTGAATAATGGCTTGGTAGAAGCATAGCCAGGTTACGGTATCTGTCTTTTTTTGTTTGTTTGTTTGTTTGTTTGTTTGTTTGACTAGAGACAGGGTGGGGGTCTTGCTCTGTCGCCCAGGCTGGAGTGCAGGGGTAGAATCATAGCTCACTGTAACCTGAAACTCCTGGGCTCAAGAAATCCTCCTGTCTCAGCCTCCCAAGTAGCTGGAACTACAGGTTCACACCATCATGCTCAGCTAATTTTTTGTAGAGATGGGGTCTCACTGTATTGTCCAGGCTGGCCTCAAACTCCTAGCTTCAAGAGATCCTCCTGCCTTGGCCTCCCAAAGTGCTGGTGTTATCTCTTGGAGTTAATTATATTATGAAAAATCTACAACTACCTCTAAATTTTGTATTTTTATCTAAATGATACTGCCAGATGCCATTTTTATCATTTGGAATATTAAGAAAAAAATCATGTTCATGCTGTGGCAGAGGCAAATGTCAAAATTGCACATATACTTTAGCAAAAAATCAACAGTCCTGCAGGTATTCATTGCTGCCGTTTCAGGCAATCCTGTGGCTCAAAGCCATTATTTGCAGTGCTTATACTTTAAGATCAATGCAATGTCATATAAGAAACTCCAGTGTTCCTCACATGACTAAAAGTTTTGCACTGTCTACAGCAAAAGCACTGAACCAGTCTGTCAGCATTTGGATGACATAGCTGCATAATCTCTCTACCATATTCATATGAGTGACTATTGAAAACCATAGATGCTAGCAATTAAAAAAAAAAAAAACTATAATGTTTGAAAAAGTTAGAGATAGGATATTTATCCGAGACAATTTATTCTAAGATTCCATTTGATATCATGGTTATTTAGGGCTGGTCTGAGTATAACTTATAAATATATATCAGCAACTTAGGATATTTATTTTATAATTATTTTTCCCTATGGTTAAATTTTCCCTATGTTAAATCACTTCCAGTTCTACAAAAGAGTAGTCTAAAAATCTTCTAGCAGACATCTGATCTCTTTGGTTTTTCAGTTAGATTATTGTTAGCGGAAACTTTCATAGCATTTACTTGTCTAAATCATAAGGCTTTGCTTCCAGATGCCATGAAATCAATGACTACTGAGATGAAAATTTGTAGTCACATCAACAAATATTTATTGAGCAGCTAGGGTCCAAACTGGGAGGAGTATAAAGATACATGAAATAGTTCCTGCTCTCAAAGAATTTATAAAAGACACTGTAATAAAAGTTACTCCATTTTTGAGAGCCCAGCAAAAAATTCTATGCTAATACTATTTTGCATAGTTTTCCAAACTTTGTACTCATGCAGTTTATTCATTATTTTTTCATTGAATATGCTGGTTTGCTGAAGATTCCATACATAATGCCTCTTTGAGTATTTTGTGGAGAATCTTCTTTAGAGCCTGTTTTAAAATCAATAAAGTGAATGCATTTCAGTACTATCCATTGTATTCACGTAGGTGCACACATGCATCAGAATGTGTAGAGCTGTTATCAGTGACTATCATCTCTTAAGCACTGACAATGTGCCATTGTACTGAGTGCTTTATAAGTTGTTTCACTTAATTCTCACAATAGTCCTATTAGGTAAGTATTATTATTTCTCTTTTATAATTGAGGAAATCAGAGAAGTCAAATGTTTTGCCCATGTCACAGTTAATATATAAGAGCATCCGTATCCGAAATTAGATCTAGATCCCATTAAGCACTCTCTTTTTCTGCTATAGCTGCTTGTTCAAGAAGTGCTACAGTGCTTCTGTAGACACTTTGAAGTTATAAATTATAGATGAAATCCCAAGTGTAATAAAGTCATCAATATGAATTCAACTCTACCTTGATTGAGATCAGAGCTATCACCAGCACATTTGTTAGTACAACATTATTTAGCCCCATTACTGTAGTTATTTTGAGATGATATATTAAGCAGTTTGTTTGCCCCTGGTTACCAGCAGAGAGCAGAAGTGTGTGTCACTCTTTAAGAAACACCCAACTTTGTCATGGAGGCAAGTGTGTATATGCACAAGGAAGTATATATGTAAGTGATTATCACTTATTTTTACCCCAGTTAAAGCCAAAACCCCAATTTCAAGAGAGTCCTTTATAATTCAGACAGGGAAGTGGGAGGGTCTAGGCAGAAGGAATGCCTATAAGCCAATATTGATTGCCATTGACCAGATACTAAATATGAATTAGAGGTAGACTGTGAACCTATTCAGATTTTTTCTGGTTTTACTATCTGCTTAATGTGAGACAGACACTTGTGATCTAAATCGGCCCTCTTCTGACTGATTATCTATAGGAAAAGTATATTTTGATCCTTATTTCTGTAGCCAAAATAAAGCTGTAAAACTAAGCATCTGCAAATAAAAATTCTCTCCCATATGATAGAAGAAATAAATGTCTAAGCCTAGGGAGGAAAGTCAAGGGGAATATATAATTTCTTGCAGCAAGATATCTTTTAAAAGGTTCATTCATTAAAAAATAGTTACAAGTATTGAAGAATTAGCAAGTTCTCTACCAGTTTAATAAATGTTTCCCAAACAGAATTGTATTATGCAAGCTATGTCTCTGTACATCTACCATACGATATGGTACAGATAGACAGTGATCAGTTAAGAAATGCACATTGGTAAGGGCATCCTCAATAGTTTTTTGTTTAATGTGTGGTATTCAAACATTGCTTTCCCTTCCCACTTGAATCTGACTGAGATGATATTGAGTGCATAGCCTTTCATAAAGCAAAGTGATGAAGCTAGGATAATTTTAGAGCTCCTTGCCATCAAATAGAACTGGAATAAAGAAATACATTGCAAATATCCTGTTGGGAGTTGGTGTATTTCTAGTGATATAACAACAGAAAAGAAGAGATGATGTTGACAGAGTACCAAGAACTCTAACTTTACTTTTCTAAACAGAAAGGGGAGACATTTAAAATTTCTCATGGTGCAACCTGTTTGTAAATTGACCAACTGGGCCTGCCAAAACTGAGCAAAAGCTTGAAAATTATATTATTTTTTAATAGATGGCATTTTAATACACTTAAATTGAGTTCTTATGTAAACAATGACCTTTGTGAATTAGAACCAGAGTATTAATTAGGTCAGAGCCCCAGTTTGATTAGAATATTAATTAGATCTGAGTGTTAATGTAAACCATTGTCTTTGTTGAATTATTTGTCATAGAGGCTAGATCTGGAACAGACCCAGGAGCTCATCTAGCCCAGTGATTTTTAGTGCTGTGAAGAGTAGGGGTCACCACGTCCTCATGGAGGTGGGGAGGGCAAGGAGATAGAAATAGCCAAGAGAACACAACCTCAAACAAATTCCCCAGAGGTCTCATGTTCCTTACCCCCTTCCCTCCTTCTTTGAGACTCACTAGGCTGACTGAGCTGCTGTTACCTCTAGAATGCATCCTTCAGGTGTGCTAGCTGGAAAATAAAATTGGAAACATCTAATCCACCTTTTCATTTATTTTTATTTATTTATTTATTTTTTGAGACAGGGTCTCACTTATTGTGCAGGCTGGAGTGCAGTAGCATAATCACAACTCACTGCAGCCTTGAACTCCTGGGCTCAAGCAATCCTCCCAACTCAACCTCTCCAGTAGCTGGGACTGCAGGTTCATACGACACCATGCCTGACTAATTTTTTTAAAAATTTTTGTAGACATGGGATCTCGCTGTATTGCCCAGGCTGGTCTCAAACTCCTGGACTCAAGTAATTCCCCTACCTCCACCTCCCAAAGTGCTAGGATTACAGGCACGAGCCACTGCTCTGGCCTAATCCATCCTTCTTTTACAGAAGAGGAAATAGCCCCAGAGAAAGGAGGTGCATGCCCAGGTGCTCACACCTTGTTAGAGTGTGAGATTTCCCTTGTGAGGGTTAAAGCCAGGACTAGAACCAGGCACTCTGACTTCCTGTCCATAGGTAGAGTTTAGAGAAGAAAAACAACCCTGTATTTCTACTTCTTGTTTTCCAGATTTTAATTGTTTTTAAAACCCACAAATTTATCTTAGGAGTAGATTCAAGCTGCCAAGTTCCAATAGGCTGTTT